AGGGAGCAAAAATATTCATTGAATCTGAAAAAATATCACTAGACCTGGAACCACATCAAGGTGGTTGTAATGAACAGAGTTGTAGAAGAACAGAAGAACAACATTACAGTAGGGAATGGAGGATGGAGAAAACAAGTTGAGAACTTGGCCATCCCTGGGCTGGTGCCTCAGCACACAATGACACTAAGACATTTGCTCAGATTCTCTTCTTCAGAGGTAGAAGTTGTGATGTCCTTCATCCACTTTTCAAGTTCCAAATAAACATTCTTTTCATCTTTCAATGTATGATATAAAATGATGGAAAGGACCTGGAATGAAAAAAATGGTAGAAGAGCAGGAAAGGTAGAAGAGAGGATGAAAATAAGGAAGAATGTTTATACTTGCAATGCAAAGTCTAGATTAGATTCCTGACTCTGCCATTCAACACCTGTGTTACCTACACAAAACAGTCGCCCTTTACTAACATCAAGTTTCTCTTCTGGGAAACAGAGAGGCCATACCCCTCTTCTCATTGGTATAAGTTAAAGAATCAACCAATAGATTACATATTGCACTGGGGACTTGAATGATCATGGATTGTAACTATCTAAATAGGTTTGTAGACATACAATAGAGCAGTCACATGAACTATTAATCAACTAACTGAAAATTTACCTCCAGAATAAAGGTTTTCCTGGTTTCTTTTATCATGGCTGGCTCTGTGTCACCACACTTCTATTATATAAGATACTATTACCACAATACTCACATATCCCACCATTATTTTTAAATTCTTGTCTCTTACTTGATTTGGAGTTCCTTATTAGCAGGTGTCTCTGCCTATGCAAAGATGAAACTTCAAGGCTAGTACTGGTATCTACATGGTGACATCTTTACCAATATTATAAAATAAGTGCATACATGAATCTCCAGACCTCCAGAGTTTCTAGAAACTCAGATATTGGAGGAATTTCTTTTATCATTTCTGTTAAAATGATAAAAATGAAAACTCTAAATTTCCAAGAATCAGGAGATGTGGCATTTGCAGTCTTGGGTTTCCAGATGTGTCTACAATTTACTTCAACAGGGCAGCTCTCCCAGGTAAAGTCACCTATGAAGAGTCTGGTTTGTGAAGAAGCAGCAGAATCTACAGGTTGACAATCCATCCTTAGAGCTGGAAACACATGTCTGAAATGAGCAGAGTTAGCAAAGAAAGTAGAGAAAGGAGGATGTGAAAAACAAAGTATGGGAACTCTCCAAATCCTTGAGAACCATGAAGTACTCTGGTTTTCTAATTTTGGCAGGAATATTTGCATACACATAATGAATATATCATGTAGGGTATCCAAGACTAAACACAAATTCATTGCTGCTTGGCTATATATTATACACCAAGCTTAAAGGTAAGTTCAGATAAATTGTTACCATCTCTGTATTTTGATACATCCTGTCTGTAGCTAGAGTTTTCCTGGTCCTGCCTGGCCTATGGTCAGGACAAATCTCTCTCACCTGCCAGTCCCACAGCTGCTCAGACCCAACCAAGTAAATACACAGAGACTTTTATTGCTTACAAACTGTATGGCCACAGCAGGCTTCTTGTTATCTAGTTCTTGTATTTTAAATTAACCCATACCTATTAGTCTATAAGTTGCCACATGGCTTGTGGCTTACTCGTACCTTACATCTCAGTTTCCATGGCAGCGGCTGGCAGCATCTCTCTGACTCAGCCTTCCACTCCCAGAATTCTCCTCTCTCTTTGTCCCACCTATACTTCCTGCCTGGCTACTGGTCAATCAGTGTTTTATTTATTAACAAATCAGAGCAACACATTTAACATACAGAACATCCCACAGCACTTGTCCCATGAGGTCAAATGTGGAGTTTCTCACTTGTTATCATGTAGACTCTTCAAAGTGTTTCCAATTTGGGTGTGTCCTACATTTTATACTTTTGATGTAGTAATGAGCAACGTGTATTGGTTCCTTTAATTCTCTATTGTGCAGATCTGGGGTGTAAAGCTCTGCTAGGCTTTAGTGTTTGCTTTCTTTCAAAGTCTAGGTTGAACATTAATCTCCAGTATAATGTTACAAACAGATGGGATTTAGGGGATAAGGTTTTTGGGAATTTATTAAGTCCTCATGAATAAGGTTAGTGTCCTGCAACAGAGACTTCAGTAGGGCTGGCTGGCGCTTTCACACCTCTGCCCCTTCTGCCATGTGAGACACAACAGGAAAGTGCTACAGGACTGTCGAGTCCTCACCAGACACTAACTTTGCCAATACTTTGATCATTGACTTCCTAAGGCTTTAGACATGTGAGAAATAAATGTTTCTTCTTCATAAATCATCTAGCCTCAGGTGCTTTGTTATAGCATCACCAATACTGAGACAAGTTCCAACTCCTTACTGATCTAAAAAAAAAAAAAAAAAAGAATCAGCTACCTCCCACTCCATTCTTGGACTTTTATTGATAACTTCTTGTCACCACATATAATTTTAGAGCAAAAATTGTTTAGTGTGTGTGTGTGTGTGTGTGTGTGTGTGTGTGTGTGTGTGTGTTCATAAGTATTTTAGAAGTAGTAAACTGGCTTCTCATATATACAGAAAAAAAGAAACTGAGGGAGAACTTGAGGAGGGACAGAGTAGAGGGCAAAAAGAAAGGAATTTGAAGAAATTCAGAGCTCAGTGACTTCATATACTCTCTATTGAAGGCTAGCACACAACTGGGTTTTAATATTAATGGACAGTAATTCATTGATAATGGAAACATTTTCTGTGCTTTAGTTTGAAAAGACCACAATGAAGCAAGTTCAGTGGATTTTCCCCACCAATTTTAATGAATACATTTTAATTTAAGTATTGGTTGAGTTTGATGAGCTGTTTAAGTGCACATACCCACCATCGTCCCTAGGAAGATATAGGACACTTCATTTTCTTGGAATTTTCCTGTATGTATTGCTGTGGAATAATCCTCTTGTATACTGTAAAGATTTGTCACTTGAATTGGTTTAATAAAATGCTGATTGGCCAGTAGCCAGGCAAGAAGTATAGGTGGGGTGACCAAACTAAGAATGATAGGAAGGACAAGGGTGGAGTCAGGTGTTGCCAGCCAGATGCAAAGGGAGCAGATAAATGTGCCATGGTATCACCACATGGCAAAGCTAGAAATATGGGTTAATTTAAATGTATGCATTAGCCAGTAACAAGCCTGAGCTATCAGCTGAGCATGTATAATTCATATTTAGCCTCTGAATTATTTGGGATCAGGCCATCAAGGCAGGAAATGGCCATTTACAATGTATCTTTTTGGTGTCCCAGTTGATGTTCTGCCTCCAAGTGAATGGATGCTAGTATTTTGAGCCCCATGGATTGCTTCTTAGAATCTGCTGAAAGCTATATACTGAGTTATCACTGAGACCTGAAACTGGGAGCACATGCATGGATTTCAGTTCAAGGAACCCAAGTTACAACTTTGTAATTCTCTTATTTACTAATTGTAAATCTTTTTTGCATGCTGACTAGGAGCTTTGCTTTGGGTATTGGACAGAGAGTACTAAAGAAACATGGCATTGTTTTTGTTGCATTGCTTTTAAAGCAAGGAGAAAGGCCACAAAGAAGAAGGCCACAGAGATGAATGTAGCAAGGACAATAATCAACCTGGGTGTGGTGATGAGTCACCAGAACTTTAGATACTCATGGGGCTCAAGGAAACCTCTCTGAGGAGATGGTTTGGTGAGTCTGAGGATAAAGGGAGGCAAGTTACATCAGAGGTAGAGAATACCCTTCTAGAAGAGACAACATCATCTGTCTGCTGCTCGAATTGTATTTCCACTGCCACACACCACATTCTGAATGTTGATTTCATCCATTTGCAAAGTAGGCCAAGCACTAAGGGAGAATTGACATCCTCACAGAACACAGCTTTTAGGGCCTGCAAGAGAGCTTTTCTGGTTATCTCTTGAAGATACAAAATCGATTGGTTTAAATAACAATTTTATTTTTCTCTCATGATTTATGTGGGTTGGAAATTCAGAGGGCTTTGCCAGATAGTTCTTGTCCAAGGCACCTCATGAATTCACAATTAGGTTTGGAAATACCTGCAAGAGTGAGAGCTGGCCACACAACTCTTTGTTGTGGCCTCAGGAATTCTCTACAAGGTACTCATGGGGAGACTTCTTTGGGCTTCCTTCCAGCCTGTGAACCTCAAGGTATCTGTACTACTTTAACAGCAGTTGGAGGCTTCAAGAGTGAAGGTTTCAGGAGTGAATGCTCTGGTGAGAAAGAAGCTAAACTGCCCTTTATAACTCAGGCTTCAAGTCTTTGTTCACCAGGAAATCAATCAATCAATTAACTTTTTAAAAAGTTTTCAAGGAGGAATATATAAATATATGTATATGTGTGTGTCTGAATGCATGTGTGTATATATGAATGCATGTATGTATGTATGTATGCATGTGTATTTGATGGGAGAGTATCAAGAGTCTAGGAGAGTATATGGGATAGCAGATATTATTACAATGGCCTTTGGAACATGGGGCTAGTGGGTTTGAACAGCAGGTGAAAGAGGAGAGTAAGGGGACTGAGGAGGGCTCTAGGAAACAAAAAACTGTGGATGAGAGGTAAGAGGACTCCTTCAGGAGCTTTGGTGGAGAGATGAAAGCACCAATTTAGATACATTTAGTCACACACACACAAAAGAAAATGGTAAGAACAGAAAAGTTTTTACTTAATTGGTCTAAATAATAAGAGCATTTTCTCAGAAAGGTCAAAGGTGAATGATTCAGTGGTGGCTAATAGCATTCTCTATGACAACAGTCATCTCTGTAACTCAATACCTTCACCTTTAGCATGCTAAATAGCTGCCTTCTTTTTCTCCTTCTCCTTCTTCTTCTTCTTCTTCTTCTTCTTCTTCTTCTTCTTCTTCTTCTTCTTCTTCTTCTTCTCCTCCTCCTCCTCCTCCTCCTCCTCCTCCTCCTCCTCCTCCTCCTCCTCCTCTTCCTCTTCCTTCTCCTTCTCCTGCTCCTCCTCCTCCTCCTGCTCCTCCTCCTCCTTTTTCTTGTTTGTTTTTGGAGACAGGATTTCTTTGTGTAGGCTTGACTGTCCTGGAATTTGACTGTCCAGGCTGACCTCATAGGGATCCACTTGCCTCTGCTTCTGAGTGCTGGGATTAAAGGCATACATTATCACTGCCTGACCATGTTAGACCTCTTATACATGATTGTCTTTCATGTTTCAAGGTGGCTACCACAGATCTGGGCATTAGATAATTATCTAGCACTGTTTAGGGACAAAAGTTAACCATTTTTTTCCCTGAGATATTTTCTTTAAATGTGGAGCAATTTATGTAGCCCTCCCATGATGTCTCATAGACTGCATCTTGATCCCAGATTTCAACCAAAGACTGGAAGAAAGAACACACGATTGCTACTTTTGACTTTTGGCTTAGGAAGCATATATATATATATATATCATATGAAAGGTGAGTAGAAGCTAGAGGAAGGGCCACTAGTAATAAGAGAACCATATGACCAATGGATTTGTAATGAAATTAAAAATTGTTAAATCAATTATTTGAAAGACAGAAAGACAGAAGCTAGACAGACACAAATTCTGAAGAGTCTATGACAGTGCCTAGATGTCCCCATATCAATGGGAGAGTAAGATAGGTGAAAAAACATCAAGATAAGAATGAGAATCTAAAAGAATAAGAAATTCTATTCATGGGGATAGTAATGACTCCTCAAATGGGACAGGAATCCTGGTAGGAAAGATGGCAAAAACTAGCTAGTAATTAAATTCTTTATAATTAGAAGAGGTATAATTTTCCTACACCAGAAGTAAAGGCATATGTGGCCCACAACAGTATAAACTTATATGGAAAATGAGAGACCCCAGTTTTTAAGGGGAACCTCAACTCTGGGCTGTCATTCTCCAGCAAGAGTAATTTATGTTACTAATCTTTCTAGCCATGTTGGCAAACTATATGAGGTTTCCTGGTGTTTTCCAAAGCCATCAAGACAAAACACAAATTCTTTAATATGTTTTACAAAGCTCTTTCTATATTGTCTCTGTAAATATTTCCATTTGGGGAAGTTTCTCCAAATTCTTGGTCATGTTTCCTTAAGAGAAAAATATTTCTTTGGATTTGTATCCTTGAAGCATAATTACTTATATACTACTGAATCAGCACATTCTTTTCTAATAAGAAAATGCATTAAAATAGATATAAATGAAATAGATGCATTATGTGAGCAGCTATGATCTAGAACAACAGTTCTCAACCTGTGGGTCATGACCTCTTTGGGGATTGAAAGGCCCTTTCACAGAGGTCATCTAAGACCATTGAAAAACAGAGATATTTACATTATGATTTATAACAGTAGCAAAAATGCAGTTGTGAAGTGGCAAGGAAAACAATTTTATGGTTGGGAGTCACCACAACATGAGGAACTGTATTGAAGGGTTGCAGCATTAGGAAGGTTGAGAACCACTGCTCTAGAAAGTCAAAGGAAACTGGTTCTGAAATAGACAAATCCACCTCTACAGCTGAAGACTTCAATAGCTATCTATCTAGTCTGTCAACTAACAAGAAAGGCAGTAAATCTCCAGAAAGGCTCTACAGCATACTCAGATAATGGGGCCTGATCGATACTCATAAGACATGTCACCCAACAGCAGCAGAACACTCAAGTGTGCAGAGAACAAACACCAAAATGGATCACTTCCTCTGCCACTGGGTTATTTCAACTGTCCATGGCCATGAATTTGATCATCAGACTAGAAAAATATAAACACACCAAGCAAAGAAAAGTGAAATTATGTAGAGTATATCCTCCAGCAGCACTATAATCAAACTAGAAATCAATAACAGGAGTAAATGTAAAAAATTCCAAGCTAACAACACACTTCTAATAATCCATGAGGCAAAGAAGTCTCAGTGGGCACATTAAACAATATGAGACTGAAGGAAAATAAAAATCTAGCAGACAGAGATGCTTGGGACACAGCTGAAGCCATGCCGAAATGGAGACTGCAGCATTAAATAAAAGAGCTAATGAAAACAAGAGCAGAAACCACTGAATTTCCAACCAGACACAATAGCGGCTGGAGCTGCAGCTCAGCTGGGATGGTACTCGCCCAGCATGCACCAGTTCTGTATTTAATGCCCAAGCACGGGGATGCACACAAATCATCTCAGCATTTGGGAGTTGGAGACAGGAGGACCAAAACTTTGAATCATTCTGAGCTCCATAGCATCATGAGATCTTATCGAAAACAAACAAAAGCAGAAATAATGAAGAAGATAAATAAATGAAACAAATAAGTCATTCTTTGAACAGATCAATAAAATTAACAAAATTTTCAACAGGGTTTAAAAAGGAAAAGATCACAGATTACCACTCAGGAATCAAATAGTATCTATTACAGACTGATTCTACAGACTTTAGAATAATATCTAGGGAACTTTATCAATAATCCGAACACCACGCAACAGGTATCAAATAGGAAAAATTCCATGAAAAGCAACCCAAATCCAGTGAAATGGCATGAAATAGATAATAACCTCACAACACATAAGGAATTTGAATGTGCAGTATAAAAGCCATCTGAATGTCTAAACAGCCTCCCTGTAGAATTTTTCAAATGTTTAGAGAGGAACCACATCTCCTATGGATGAAGAAAATAATATTCAATTTTTTAATATAAAGTTAGTGCTATTGTAACCAAATGAAGGCTGTCTTAAACTAAAAACTGCAGACTGATATTCTTCAATGGTATAAACACAAAAAACCTAACCAAAACCAAAGGAGATAGTTCAGTGGTAGAGCTCTCAACTAGCACACATGAGATACTGTGTTTGATGCCAAACAGAAGAAATTAAAAAAGATGGAAAAAACTAACAAAGTATTAGAAAACAGCATTAAGCAACTGGAGCATATAAAAAAAATTATATATTATGGCCAAGCGTTGTTTATTCTGGTTATGTAAGATTGGCTGGAAAATATTTGTTATATGTCGAATTAAACAGGCTAAAAAAATTCACATGATTTTATCAATTAATACAGAAAAGATTTGAGACAAAATTCTCAGATTCATTTATTGTAGCCCTCTTAGATATAGGAGTGATGAAGAAAAAGAACATCTCAAAGAAATGCTAACATTTTTCTTAATAATGAAAGATTGTTTCCTCTTAAGCTCAATACTAGGCAAGGATGTCCGATCTTTTTTTTCTGTTTTTTTTTTTTTAACTTAGGGAATATGGACATGTTCATGTAGAGTTCTTCCTAAGCATGCTCAGTTAACAAATCTACTCCTGAACATGATATATATTTTTTATTTTTGGAAGGTTTCATATGTTTGTAGAATGTATATTTTTTTAATAATTTTTTTTTCATTTTACACACCAATCACAGATCCCCCTCTTCCCTCCTCCCACCTCTCCAGCCTTCCCCCAAACTCACACCTTATTCCCTCCTACAAGAAGGTAAGGCCTCCCATAGGGAGTCAGCAGAGCCTGGTACATTCAGTAGAGGCAGGTCCAAGCCCCTCCCCCTGCCTTAAGTCTGTGCAAGGTTTCCCACCATAGGTAGTGGGCTCCAAAAAGCCAGCTCATGCACAAGGGATGGATCCTCATCATACTGCCAGGGGGCCCCTTAAGCAGTTCAAGCTTCACAACTGTCTCACTCTGCAGAGGGCCTAGTGCTGTGGGATGTTCTGTATGGCAAATGTGTTGCTGATTAGTCAATAAATAAAACACTGATTGGCCATTGGCTAGGCAGGAAGTGTAGGCGGGACAAGGAGGAGAATAAAGCTGGGAAGTGGAAGGCTGAGTCAGAGAGACACTGCCAGCCGCCACCATGACAAGCCGCATGTGAAGATGCCGGTAAGGCACGAGTCATGTGGCAAGGTATAGATTAATGGAAATGGATTAATTTAAGCTATAAGAACAGCTAGCAAGAAGCCTGCCACAGCCATACAGTTTGTAACCAATATAAGTCTCTGTGTTTACTTGGTCAGGTCTGAGCTGCTGTGGGACTGGTGGGTGACAGAGATTTGTCCTGACTGTGGTCCAGGCAGGAAAACTCTAGCTACAGCCTAGTCTAGTCCCATGCAGGCTCCACAGCTGTTGGTCTAAAGTTCATGAGTTCCCACTAGTTTGAATAGATTGTCACTGTAGGTTTCTCCATCATCATCATCTTGATGCTCCTTGCTCATAGAATCCCTCTTCTCTCTCTTTGACTGGACTCCTGGAGTTCAGCCTGGTGTTTGGCTGTGAATCTCTGCATCTGCTTCCATCAGTGACTGGAGAAAGGCTCTATGATGACAGTTAGGGTGTTCACAGATCTGATTACTTAGGTAAACCAGTTCAGGCACCCTCTCCACTATTGCTAGTAGTCTAAGCTGGGGTCATACTTGTCGATTCCTGGGTACTTCCCTAGCACCAGGTTTCTCCCTATCCCCATGATGTCTCCCTCTATTATAGTATCTCTTTCATTGTTCTCCTACTCTGTCCCTGTTCCAGCTCAACCATCCCATTCCCTTATGTTCTTAACCCACCATGCCCTCCCCTCCATTTCCTCCCCACTCCCATCCCCAGTTTACTCTTGGAGATCTCATCTATTTCCACTTCCCAGAGTAATCCATATGTCCCTATTAGGGTCCTCCTTGTTAGCTAGATTCTCTGAACTGTGGATTGTAGTCTGGTTATCCTTTTCTTTATATCTAGTATCCACTTATGAGTGAGTACATACCATGTGTGTCCTTCTGAGTCTGGGTTACCTCACTCAGAATATTTTCTGTTCCAAAGGTTGTCTGATCTTAACTGTTCTTGTTCAACACACTGTTAGAACTTCTAGTTAGGAGTTGTGCTGGTTAATATTTATTGTCAATGCGATGGGGTCTAGGATCATGTAGGGGACACTCTGGGCTTGTGAGGGATAGTACCTGTAACAGATTATCTAGAGTAGGTTAACTCATGCGGGAAGAGCCACACCAAGCAGCGGGTGCCATCCCATAGGCTGGTTTTCTGGGTTGAAACACAAATGTGAGCTTAACGTCAGCTGTCATCTTTCTCTGCTTCCTGACTGTAGATATAATGTAATCAACTGCCTCAAGCTACCATTATGTTCATGCCATGACAGACTGTGCCCTGGGACTGTA